AGGAGGGGCGAGGGGATTGGGGGTTCCGAGGGGGTGGTGGGGGATGGGGTAAGGGGACAACATAGGAAATGTAAATAAATCATCCAATAAAAAAAAAAAAAAAAGAAAAAAAATTCACACACGAGCCTTGTGCATGACTTGAAAGCTACACCTGATGGCCACGACCTCCATGTTCTTAACAACGAGCACACTGTGGACTGCTGTTCATCCTCTCTCTCTCTCTCTCTCTCTCTCTCTCTCTCTCTCTCTCTCTCTCTCTCTCTCTCTCTTTTCTGTGTGTGTGTGTGTGTGCCCCCCCCCATGTGGGCAAGTGTGAAGGTCAGAGGTTTACACCTACATATCTTTTGTTAATGTCCTCTCCACCTTATAGTTTGGAGACAGGCTCTCTCACTGAACTTGGACTTACCATTTCCCTAGGCTGGCCAACAATGTAACCCCCAGGATTCCCTATCTCACCCCCTTGGCACCAGGGTTAAGGTGTTTGCCACTGTACCTGGAGTTCCAACCTCAGGTCTTCATGCTTGTTCAGCAAGTCCTTTACCCACAGGGCCACCTCAACACCTCCATAGTCCCACCTTTGGGTCACTAAAAAAATATTTTTTAAACAAAGTTTCACTGTGTAGCCCAGCCTGGCCTAGAACTCACAGAGATCCATCTGCCCTTTCCTCCTAAGTACCGGGAAAAAGGGGTGTGTATCACGCCTGGCCTAACTTAGATACTGATAGATATTGATAAAGACAAAGGTTAAAAAGACGCAGTCAAGGACACACAGCAAAGAGGAGGGCTGGCTTGTTACCAGAGTTGATAGTACTAAATTTTGCTTAAGAAATGTTCAGAATCCAGGCTATCATATTTTTCCAAAGCTCAGTTCTTCCTGGGTTACTCTGGAGGGGCCGGAGAGCTGGTCAGCCGTTAAGAGAGTGCCCTGCTCTTGCTGAGGCTCTGGGCTCAGTTCTCAGTATCTGCATCAGGCACATCAGTCACAGCTCCAGCCCCAGGGGATCTGACGCCCTCTTCTGGACACTGAAGGCACTGCACTCACATGCACACACACACACACACACACACACAGATACAAATGCACATCACTTAAAAATACATCTTTATAAACAAAACAAAAAGGCCCTGGAGACCAAAAGGAGAGGAACACCTCTGGGTAGCCACCAGCAGTTCTTACAGGCTTCTCTCAACTGCGGCCTTTGAGCCTGTCTTCAGGCCTCTGTGTCAGGCCTCTGTGGAAGGCAGGAGTGTCTGCTTCGAGCTCCCCACAGCCACTGCTCTCTGCTCCCCACCCTCTTCCACCTGCTCAGTCTTCAAGGATTTTCTCATCTGTCAACCAATGTCATTGCAGTGACCATTCCAGAATATCTGTGACCCTCAGCCACAGGTCACCATAGAAAGACAACCAAGAGGACTAACTTCTAAAATGGGTTTAGAAATGACCATAGAGAATGACAGAACCCCTTATTTCAAACTCTGTATCAGCAAATAGAAACCACTCGGTGGTTGAGTATAAAAGCTAACCCTAAGACGGGAGGCAGGAGGAGTGTTGGGGGTGGGGTTAGTGGTCTGGAATCACAAACAGCAGTAGCATTCATGAGAAGGGTGGAGTTTAATCCCAGCCTGCTGATGGATGACTAATGCCCTGGCCGCCTGAAGCTGGCTATGGCTCCATACTCACACTGCAGAGCGAGGCCTGGGCTAGACAAGAGCTCAAACTGAGGATAGAGTCACTTCCTGGGCCATGTCCCCTGCTGTTATATAGTGACAACAGTCCACTCTGAACTCAGCCACGTTGGATCCCAGGTTCTGTTTTTCTGCAGCCTGTGTTGATTAGCGGTAACTCAGAGTCCTCTGACCTCCACAAGGGCACCATATCACATGTGCACGACTCCATCCCCCAGACAAACAAATGTAATTCGTCAAGAATTACCCCTAATAATCAAGGGAAACAGAGTCGGTTCTGAAATCTAAAAGGATATAGTATATCCAGGGATGGGACCCGTGTTCCCCATCTCTCTCTGGATGTAAGCATCTTTACAATTCCATGGAACACTGCAAACTTTCTGTCAATAGCTCCTCACTCTGGGCCATCAGCACGCAAAGAAACATCCATCCTTGGGTCAGAACTTGTTCTTGTTTTGAGGGACATTGGCGACAACTTGGAAACTGCCACTAAAAGATTACCATGTGTACTCATGTAAAGAATTAAGACATGTCAGCCTGCGCAACTAACAACAATCGGACAACTGCAGAATTAAAAAACAAAAAACCTGAAAACCAAGAACAAAGTTGGAGTGCTCAGTGACAAGCAAGTGTCACCTGCAGACACATTTCGTGAAATGAAAAGCAAGTGACTGTTCTCTCAACAAGGGTACCCTTTGGTCTCAGGTACCACTTCTTAGAACGCATTCCGCTCAGTACCTGGGGGACAGCAATCTGCTGTTCACCTAGGATATTATAAACACACATCTCTTGTAACTGCTGAACAACTCATCTCTTAGAAAATGCCAAAATTCTCTGGCCACAAGAGCCCACACCTGTAGCAATAACCTTTCCCCAGTTACTAACCAATTTAAGATTATCTATTCATGGCCCACGTGGGCGCCTGCTGACAATTGCTACACTCCGAATCACACTTCAAAATGAATCCAGGCTTGGTACATTCTGGAGTAGACCAAGTAAACCTGGCAACAAACTGTACAGCTTTCTATAAAACACACCAGAAAGTCAGGCGGGCTCTGTCCCTTTCTAGCCCAGGACTACACTGGGACAGAGGCTGTCTTGCAAGTGGAGGCCTGAACCAAACCCAGGCTCCCTACCACATACACACTTACCTTAAGAGGAGCTCCTTGGGTAACTTTTTGTTGATAAGGCCATCATCACTGTTTGAGAAAACCTGCAAGAGGAGAAAAATTGGAAAACGGGTCTTTGGCCATTGTATGAAAAAGTTAAATCCCATGTTTTTATACTGGATCAGAGCAGAAATACTTACTGACCTGCAGAAAAGAAAAACAATGTCACCACTGCAGTGCAGCTCCCTGAAGCCATGTGAATCACCTCAACCACCTGTACCTCAGCTCCAGGGGACCCAACATCCCTGCCCCCCGTGGCCCCAGCACCCACATGCACCTACCACCCCAACCCCCACTAACACATATACATAACTAAAATTAATAAAAATAGATCTTTTTAAAATGTCAACACACAGCCATCTGCGCACTGCATTGTACTGGAGGCTCTGGTAAACTCACAGCAAGAGAAACAGAAGACGTAAAAGGGGTAACAGGACAGCCTCCACTTAAAGACATGGCATTGTTTGTAGACAACCCTAGATACCCACAAAATCATAACTTATCAAACAGGTCAGTGATGTTACACATTTATACAAAAAGAAACTATACTTTTAAGATTTTTTATTATACTTTCAATTGTGTGTATGTGTGTGTGCATGTGTGAGTGCAGGACCATAGGAGGCCAGAAGAGAGCACTGGATCTCCTGTAGCTGGAATTATAGGTGTTGTGAGCTGTCCGCCTATGTGGGTGCTAGGACCTGAACTCCCATTTTCTACAAGAGGACCCAGTGCTCTTAACTACTGAGCCATCCCTCCAGCTTCAAGAAAGTATATTTCTATACATTCATAATAGACAACTTTGAAATGAAATCAAGTAAGCAATCACACTTATAATGGCATTAAAATGAATTTGACACCAGGCAGTGGTGGCGCATGCCTTTAATCCCAGAACTTGGGAGGCAGAGGCAGGTAGATTGGATTTCTGAGTTCAAGGCCAGCCTGGTCTACAGAGTAGGTTCCAGGACAGCCAGAGCTATACAGAGAAACCCTGTCTTGAAAAACAAAAACAAAAACAGAAATGAATTTGAATGAATATATATATATATATATGTGACTTGCTGTGCAAATACAAGACCTGAGTTTGAATCCCAGCACCCACATGAAAAAGCCAGACATGACTGTGGATACCTGTAACCTCAGCACTGCATGGTAGAAGATCCCAGCTCAGCCAACCACCCTGGTTGACCACTGAACTCTGAGCTCAGTGAGAGAGAGAGTCTGTCTCCAGGGAATAAGGTGGAATGTAATGAGGAGGCTACCCAGTATCCTCTGTGTGCACACACACAGGCATATATAACACACACACAGTGACATACATACACACACGCACACACGAACACATGCACATACAAGCATACACCACACCCACACATCCAAACATACACACACATCAGCATACATATCCATAACACAAGCACATACAGGCATATATCTCATCCATACACCCACTTGCACACACACATACATACATATGTCATACCCACATACACTCCCATGCATACACACAGGCTTACGTCATAGCCTCATACCACACATGTGCCCACACACCCCTACACACACCCACAAAAGGGAAAAGGAATGGAACTTTGCTGGGCACAGGGAGCGGTGGACGAGCTTGCAGTCCAGCAGGGCAGAGCAGAGGCAGGACGACTGGCACATAAAAGATGTCACCCTGGACTACAGAGGGAGACCCTACCTCAGAAAACACAGAGCAGAGAGAAATGAGATGGGAGGGGGGAAGAAAGAGACTTGCTTTAAATTCTTGAGAAATTGATTATGAGGAGTGGACTGGCAAACTCCACGCCCATGATGGTGGTGCATTAGCAACCCCTGGGCTGCTGCACGGGCCTGTGGTTCACACCAATATCCGATCTTACACTTGAGTGTGTGCACAAATGCAAGGGACCCAAAATAGCTAAAATAGACTTGAAAAAGAAAAAGTTGGAGAACTCAAATTCCCTGATTCTATTGTTTACTCTATGGTCAGGCACGGGAGCGTGTGCTCATGTCAGCTGCTGCAGGGCTTGATGCAGAGCAATCCCTTGAGTCCAGACAGATAGACAGACAGACAGACAGACAGACAGACACACACACACACACACAAACAAATAAATATAACTAAAATACTTTAATGTGTTGATTTTTTAAAACTCTTTATTCAAACTTATATGACTCTGTGTGTGCTGAAATGAAAGTGAGCCCCACAGGTTCATAGGGACTGGCACTATTGGGAGGTACAGCCTTGTTAGAGGAAGTGTCTTCCTGTATGCTGCCATGCTTCCCACCATGATGACAACAGATGAATGTCTGAACTGTAAGCTCCAATTAAATGCAGTCCTTATAAGAGTTGCCATGGTTTTGGTATCTCTTCACAGCAATAGAAACCCTAAGAGAGTGTACATATATGCAATTGTGTGTGCAGTGCCCAGAGTCCAGAAGACAGCATCAGATCGCCTAGAACTGGAATTACAGGCAGTTGTGAGCAGACATGGGTGCTGGGAACTGAACTTACGTCCTCTAAAGGATCAATCTTAACCAGTCCTCCACTCTAATTTTTAAACTTATTTATAAAGCGACAGTACCTGAAACACTGAAGTCCTGGCACAACTGAGGACGTGCAGACGTGAACTGTACTTACATTATGGGAATGTGTTTGTGTTTTAATCCCAGGTGTGGGCTATGGGGTTGTTTCAGAGCGTTCACAGCAGCTGACTATGATTTGTCTCGTGCTCTGGCAGGGGAGTGATAGTTTACACTTGGAATTCTGTGGACTCTCAAGAAGGTGCAGAAATGCCAGAGCTCTGAGAGAGGCACTGCTGCTGCTCCCAGGGTTGGCCAAATGGTCCTGAGCAAGAAGAGGACAAGGGAACCTGCCTCTAGGAACAATGCCCCTATCAGCAGGAAGTAGTCTAAAGAGATCGATGCCTGTTTCCCCTCTAACCTTTCTCCTCTTCTAACCTTCCTAGTCTTGGGGGAATTGGAAGGTATCAGGGTGGAGAAAGTGGTTGATATAAGAACCCAATAAAGTAACCAAAAAGTACGAGTACAGTAAACAGGACTGAAAGCCCAGATACAGGTTCTAACAGCCGGGAGCCATTGATTTAAATGGGGAAAAAAGACTTTTCAAGGAATGGCACAGTAGGCCAGGATATTCTTGTGAAAATAATGGGCTGGATGTTCCCTCCCCCACAAGGAAGACGTAAACACAGGATCAACGACGTCAGCCTGTGTGTGAGAGCTCCATGACAGTCTTAAACTGTGGTACCAAAAGCACAGGCGACAATAACAAGGCAGGTAAGGTGTACTTCGTTAAAATTAAAACCTTGATGCAAAGGGCGTCTAGAAATGAAAAAGAACCGGGTGTGGTAGCACACACAGCACTTCAAAGGCAGAGACAGAGGCAGGAGGATTGCCACAGTTATAAGCCACACTATCATATAATGGGAGTTCCAGGGCACGTAAGGAGACCTTGAGGGAGCAGGGGTGGTGACCACAGAGGTGACAGAGATAGACAGAAACAGACGACTACTCATGGATACTGCACACAGCATATAAGGCATCCCAGGACACACAACGGACCTCTCCACAAGAAAAAATCAGGCCAGCGCTGGAGAGAGGCATAGTGGGTCAAAACACCTGTTCAGCAAGTGTGAGGGTCTGAGTTCAAATCCCCAGCATCCATGTTAAAAAACAAAACAACAAAAAAACCATGTTTGAGCCTACTGGTTGAGCATGCCAGCTGAGCATGCCGGGAACCCAGGACTGGGGAGAGTGTGCAGTGTTAGAGACAGGGAGATCCAAGGAATTCACTGACTAGCTAGTTGGGCTGAAATGGAAAGTTTCAGGTTCAGTGTGAGACACTGTCTCAAAGCAAGAGTGACAGACGAAGACATCAGCACCCTGCTCTGGCCTCTACATGCACAGACATGTGATTCCTCATATGCATTCGTACTCGGCTCATGACACAACTTACACATAAAGGTAGCCCAGTGGAAGAACTGGCAGAGAAGCCGGAGCTGATGCTATATGCCTCTAGTTCCAGCTCCTTGGGAAGATGAGGCAGAAGTAGTCACTTGAATCATAATTCTCGAGACCAATCTGGGCAACAGAGTAAGACCCACCTCATAAAATAAAGGGTGTACCCCAGTCGAGAGAGTGCTTGCCTCATGTGCAAAGAAAGACCTGGTTTCATGCCCTGCATAGTATAAACTGGCTGTGCTGACGTCCCCTGGCACTTGGGAGGGAAAGGACTGGGCACTGGAATATCAAGGTTATTCTCACCTACACAAGCTTGAGGCTGCCTGTGACACTCGAGACACTGCACACACACACACACACACACACACACACACACACACACAGCCCAGAGCCCAGAGCGGTAGCATACACCTTTGATCCCAGGACCTGGGAAGAAGAGGCTGGTGGATCTCTAAATTCAAGGCCAGTTCTACACAGTAAGACCCTGTCCCAACAAACAAACAATAAAATTTCAAATCTCACAACTGCCAGTTAACTCCAGCTCCAGGAGACCCAGTGTTCTTTTCTGGCCTTCTCAAGCATCCACACCCATATATGCACATACTACACAGAAACATACAGACATATAATTAAAAATAAATCTCAAAAGCTGGGCAGTAGTGGCACAAGTCTTTAATCCCAGCACTTTGGAGGCGGAGGCAGGTGGATTTCTGTGAGTTCCAGGCCAGCCTGGTCTACAGAGCTACTTCCAGGATACCCAGGGCTACACAGAGAAACCCTGTCTTGAGAAATCAATCATCAATCAATCTCAAAACAACAAACAAACAAACAAAAAACCAAACAGGCTGTGGCTCAGGCAATCGTAGGTTTTCTCAGGGAACTACTGCTGTTCTGACTGGAGAAGGTTCCCATCAGATTCCCTTCCAAACACTTTTGTTCATGCCACAGGTTGGCACTGTCAACTTTGGTCAGTCACAGGGACTCAGTTTTTGCAGTGGGTGGCAATTCCTGCAGAGAGTCATACCTGGTCAGACTGCTGGGAATAGCTGACTACTGAAAACTGATCCCTAAAAAGGACACTGATGTCACCCCTTCCAATGCTCAAGGAATGTGGTGGACGATGGTGGCGGAAATGAAGGAAGGAGCTGTGGGGAGGGGCTGTGAATGCCTGCTTCTGAGCAGGAGAGAGACCGTGCTCTCTGGAGCTCTCAGCAGCTGTGACTGTCTATACACACAGCCTGCAGAAGACAGGCCATTTTCACACACAGAGTTACACAAATACCTGTAAACAAAACCAAAACTAACTCTGCAAGTTGTTATCACCACCCCTGCAGCTTGTCAGAGAGAAGAGCGGGAAGGGATTGGTCTTCCTCTGGCTCAGCTGACAAGACATTGAAATTCTTTTAAATCTTTAGAGGAAGAAGGATGAATGTGGGTGTGGGACCCAAACCCAGGCCCTGTGCAAGAACAGCAAGGCTTCTAACCACTGATCCATCTATCCAGCCCCCAAACATTGAAATTATTTAGTATCTGTTTTTATTTTACTTATATGTATACACTGAGGCCAGAAAGGACAACAGATCCCCTGGAGCTGGAATTATAGGCAGCCGTGAGCTGTCACATGGGTGCTGGGAACCAAACCCAGGACCTCTAATTTTTTTCATTTATTCATTTTTTAAGATTTATTTATTTTATGTATTCGAGTACACTGTAGCTGTCCTCAGACACATTACAGATCCCATTACAGATGGTTGTGAATCAACATGTGGTTGCTGGGAATTGAACTCAGGACTTCTGGAAGAGCAGTCAGTGCTCTGAACTGCTGAGCCATCCCTCCAGCCCTCATTCACTCTTTTTTATTCTGTGTACACAGGTGTTTTGTGGCAACATATGTCTGTGCACCACTTGCAAAACTGGTGCCTGTAGAGACCAGAAAAGGGTATCAGATCCCCTGGAAATGGAGTTGCAGATGGCCGTGAACAGCCATGTGGGTGCTGAGAATAGAACCTGGGTCCTCTGGAAGGGCAGTCAGTGCTCCAAATCACTGAGCCATCTTTCCAGCCCCTCTTCTGAGATTCTTAATAACACATACTTTAGTTTGGGAAGGCTTTGGTGTGAAGGTTAAGGCTGTAGCTGAGTTCAAATCTTTCCTTGGCCACTGACCAACAATACTGTGACTATGCAAAGCACATACTCAGTCTGGGTCTACCACATATGTGTAGTAATGTCCACCGTGTAGGGGTGGTGCAAGGGTGCAGGAATTCAATGGGATGAGCCCAATCTAGAAGAGAGGTGCTGGGTGATTGGCTGAAATTACTCTTCACATGAACCACATCAGGAACAGAAATCCAGACTCCATCATGGCAGTGAGCCCAGAGATCTCACTGTGTAAGCGTCTCTGCCTCAGCCAGCACCTTCCCCTCCAGGTACAGGGGATTATGGGCCTTGAGCTTGCCAGCCAAGCGCTCTACCACCGAGTTACATGCCAGGCCCCTTCCACTGTGAGACAAGACATCCCTAAATTACCCAAATTGCCCTTGAACGTAAGACCTTTCTGCTACAGCCTGTGTCTGGAGCCTATATGCCAGCCATCCTGGTACCCAGGAGGCTGAGGCAGGAAAATCATCACAAATTTGAAGCCCAGCTAGCCTACTTAGTGAGTTTTAGACCAGCCAAGGGCTATTAAAAAAAAAATCTGCCTTAAAAGATTAAAACCAAACAAAAACCCTACAAGATCCCTGTTGGTAAAGTGCTTGTCACATAGTGCTTGACCTCCCAGAACACACATGAAACAAACAACCAAATCTCCAAGTGTGCTTTAATCCCAGCAGAGGAGGGAGGGGACCTCTGGGGCTCACTGGCCAGCCAGTCTAGACTAATTGGTGAGTTTCAGGTTCAGAGAGAGACTCAGACTGAAAAAAGAAAAAATAACCAGGTAGCAAGCACCTGAGGTACAACACTCAAAGGCTGGCCTCTGACCTACACACACACACACACACACACACACACACACAGAAAAATCAAAGGAGGAAAAAAGAAAGAAACTCTAATATAAAGAGGAAAACTATCACCAAATATTTCAAGTTGAAGTTTCCTCCAAATTCATGCTTCCCACTCCTGTAACCAGACCCTCAGAAAGTGGGGTGCAAAATAAGAGGAGACATCAGACAGAATGAACTAAAATGGGAAAACATGTTGATATGACATACAATTTAAAAAATAAATTTATCTTATGAGCTAAATTAAATAACAAAACGCGTTGGCAACAAGATATTGTAACACTTAAGTTCCAAATGGATTCAATAAACCAACCCCTGGATGTCTGCAGACAGCAACCACAGAAGAAAGTTAGGAAAAATAGTTAGGAGGCGATGAGGAGAAAGAGGAAGAGGGGAGGAGGGGACTGAGGAGAGAGAGGAGAGTAAGAAGAAGAAAGCAATTAAAAACAACAACAACAACAATACTGTCTCATCCTGAGCACCAAATGGCACTGTATAAATCATTAGTTCACACCAGTCCACAACGAGCAGATGCTGAGTCCTGCATGCAAACCAAGGTGCCGGACAAACTCCCAGAGCGGGCAGAAGTGTGAATACATCCACAAGCCTGTGAGTGCTGATCCCTCCCCATTATTAAAGGGAAGAATACAGCCTGGAGAGGGCCAGGCATGTCTGCACCTAACCCCAGGCTGAGAACTAGATTCAAACCACTCCAGAAGGTTCAGAACCAAAGCATCCAAACAAGAAAGAAGCCTCGCATTTCTATTCCACATCTCCACAGGGGAACACAGAAAGCTCGACTGCACAGCCCTCTTGTGTGTGGTGTCTGTAACCTCGGCGATGCTGAAGCCATGGGTGAGAAAGTGTGGAGCTCCAGCCTAGCCAGTGAGTCCAGGTTCAGCGAGAGACTCCGTCAAAATAAGGTGGACAGGGATGGAGGAGGACAGTCACTGACCTCTGGACCTCACATCCGCGCCAACACACACATACGCACACACACACACACCAAGCAAATCTCCATCTAGTCACTCATGGTAAATACATATTTTTCCCTTACATTATTTATACGGAGGACATGCCTTGTACAGAGGTCAGAGGATAATTTACAGGACTCTCTGCTCCCAACGCTCGAGGGTCAGGGGTAGAAAATTCAGGTCATCAGGATTGACAACAAGTGCCTTTACCCCCGAACCATCTCACCGGACTTCTAGATGTGTGTTTCTTAAAATTAGGCACTTCTCTATTTAGCTAACCCGCAAATATCCTATTCCCAGGGTGTGTCACAAACCAGGGAGCCCACTTCTCTTCCGGATGGGGGCCTCTCAAGAAATCACGCCTTAACCTTGCCCGTAAGAGCCAGCACACAGGCCAAGTCAATTAAGGCTTCAAACAAGAAGTTAATGGAGGCCAGGTGGCATGCCCACAGCCTTTCAAGTTTATTGAGCAAAGCTAACGGTTTCTGTAAGGCGTTTACAACGTACTAATGACAGATTCATTAAATCCCTCACTGAGAGTGCAGCACTCAGGGGGGAAAAGTCCAGTTCAATGCTCTCTATTTTTATAAAAGGGGTGAAAGGGTATCTCCGAAGCCACCCATTAAATCCCGTCGTGCTGGGAGCCCCGTCAGGACGTAGAACTTGAAACAAATGCACGGTTCGGTATTGACATCATTGCATAAAAGCAGCCTGAAGTACGCAGCCTGAAGTGTGTGGCTGTGGGTATCTATGTAACCACACCCTCTGGTGGCTTCCCGGGCACGCTCGGGACGAACAGCGTCACCGCGTCGGGGTGGTCCACCGAGTGGAGGTCCCGGGTGTACATCAGAGAGCACAGCGTCCCGGTGCCCCCGGGCATCCAGGACCTGGGGACCCGGGTTCTCAGGACCGAACTCACCAGCCTTGCCCTGCCCTGCCCTGCCCTGCCCGGCCTCATCCGACCCGGTTCTGCCCTGCCCTGCCCCGCCCAGCAGCCCTTGGCTCTTCTCTGCGCCCTCCCCTAAGCGCCCAGCATCTCCGCTGCCCCGCGGGCGCGGGCCCCAGACTCACCATGGCCGCGAGCGCGCCCACAGCCTGAAGTCACACGGCGCCGGCGACGCCCGTTGTCCTGGTGACGCCAGCCCGGCGCCCCGCCCCGGCCTCAAGGTGGGCTCGCAGACGGCCATTGGCTTGCGTCTGCCACGTGATCCGTAGGCGCGCCCTTCGGCCCGCCCACCTCTCCTGCCCCACGCAGCTTTGAGGAGCGGGGCTGGCTGCCCTGAGGCTCACACCTGGTCCTTTCCCATCACCACAGCATCACCTTGACGCCCTTGCAACCGACAGGTGTCCCAGATATGCACTGGCCAGAACAAGATACCTTTGTGGAGTCTACTAAAAAACCACCCGACGCTGGAGAGATGGTGTACTCACATACATAAAATAAATAAATAACTCTTTAAGAAATAAACAACAACAAAATCCTAAATTGTAGCTGGGGATGTGACTTTTAGTTGGTAGCCCACTTGTCTAGGGTGCATGAGGCTCTGGGTTCCATTCTCAGCGCCACATAAACCTAGCATGGTTGTGCACACCTATAACCTCAGCATGGGGAGGTGAAACCTGGAGGACCAGAAAGGTCATCCTGAGCTACTTAGCGAGTTTGAGGTCAGCTTGGGATATATAAGACCTTTTCTTGAAAACAAAACAAAACAAAACAAACAAAACCAAACGCCAATCACCCAAGATGGTACTTAGTTGTTGAGGCCATTTTAAATGACCAATAAATATGATCACAGTAAATACCAGCACCTGAAATGGTCATGGCTGGTATTCTAATCTATTTGCTTGCATGCTTCCAATCAAATACGTACGGAAGCATGCATTTATTCTATAAGCTAGTTCCTTCGATTACGAATTATTATCCTTAAGCTGGTGCGAAGTGGCTAAGGTGGAATCCTAAGTACTTGGAAGACTGGAGTAGGAGGATCAAATCAAGACTGACCAATATAGAGAGACCCCATCTCAAACACATAAACACATGTATGTGTGTAGTCTTTGTAGATCTTTTACTGATGTAGTTTAATAAGCATAGCTTCTAATTTAGTTAACCAGGCAGCAATTTGTTGGGTTTAATTGTTGTTGAATAAAATTTGGGTATTCTCTGATCCAGCCCATCAACCTGATAGAGAAGAAACATTTAGTATGGGATTGAGGCTCAGGGGACAGAGCACTTGCCTGGCACGAAGAAAACCTGGGTTTGATCTACAATGCCTCAGAAACCTTGTATGGTGATGTCTTAGTGAGGGTTTTACTGCTGAGAACAGACACCATGACCAAGGCAACTTTTGTTGTTGTTGTTGTTGGTGGTGGTGGTGGTGGTGGTTTTTCGAGACAGGGTTTCTCTGTGTAGCCCTGGCTGTCCTGGAACTCACTCTGTAGACCAGGCTGGCCTGAAACTCAGAAATCCGCCTGCCTCTGCCTCCCAAGTGCTGGGATTAAGGGCATTCGCCACCACCGCCCGGCCCAAGGCGACTCTTATAAAGGCCAACATTTAACTGGGGCTGGCTTACAGTTTCAGAGGTTCAGTTCATTGTCATCAGGGCAGGAAGCATGGCATCGTGCAGGCAGGAGCTGAGAGTTCTACATCATGATCCAAAGGCAGAAGAACAAGCCTCTAGATCTGGATCAAAGGCATGTTGTCTTCCTGCCTCAAGACTTGGATCACAGTGTATGTATGATCTCCCCATTTCTGGATTGAGGTTCATTCCAGGCATAGTCAGGTTGACAACCAAGAACAGCCATGGAAGATGCTCATGAACAATAGACTGGAGGGTCAGAGGTTCAAGGCCACCCTCCTTGCTTCACAGGAAGTCTGAAGCCAGTGTGGACTCCATGAGATCCCATTTTAAAACTAACTAACTAGAAACAAAAATCATCAACAATCACCCTGACATCTCCCCTGGGGTGCCTGATAAACGCCACTGGCTTTACATTCCCAAGGTTCTTGCTCCCCACTCCTTCCAACCATAGCAAACGCTCCTAGTGTTGCCTGGTTACTCAGGACGAATTGTTCTTGATGCCCTCCTTTTTTTCCCCCATGACCTCATTTTCCATCAACAAACCTTCTCAAGTCTGTCTTAAAAAAACATGAGGACATGGTGGTGCATGCCCTTAATCCCAGCATTTGGGAGACAGAGACGGGAGGACCTCTGTGAGCTCAAGGCCAGCCTGGTGTACATAGTGAGATCCAGGACAGCCAGGGATACATAGAGAAACACTGTCACAAAAAATAAAACAAAAACATGTCATCAAGGGCTGGGGAGATGATTGGGGCGGTCAAATACTTGTTGCACAGGCAAGAAGACATGAGCTTAGTCCCTAGGACAGGCATTTAAGAGAGACAAAGGTCAGTCATGGTGGCCTGTGATTGTAATCCCTATGCTGTGAAATCTGAGACAAGAGATCTCTGGGGATCCCTGGAGCTCGATGCCTACACAGTGTGAGACCTCGTCTCAGAAAACAAGGTGAATGGTGCCTGAGGGCCACCAAGGGTTTCCTCTTGCCTTCACATGCATGTGCACACACGTGTGTGTGTGTGTGTGTGTGTGCATGTTCGTGTGTGCATGTATGTATGTGTGAAATTGCCAGAAAATTAAAATTTTAAAAATGAAATAAAAGGTTAATGGGCCCTGCCTTAGTGCCCTGGATTAGTGCTTTTATAAACGGGCCCAAGATAATGAGTTCACTGGCTTTGTAGCCTCTGCCATGTGAGGAGACAGTGTTTGTCCTTTTTGGAGAACGAAGGAACAAGATGCCATCTTGGAATCAGGGAGCAGGCCTCACTGGACACTGAACCTACCTGGGCTTCAGTCTGGACCTTCCCAGCCTCCAGAACCATAAGAAACAGATATCTACTTCTTATAAATGACCCGGTCTGTGGTATTTTGTCACAGCAGCAAGGACAAACTAGCACACTGTGCCCACCTGGCCTCCTTCTGGTCGGCTACACAATGGTAGGGTTTCTGTTGCTTCTCTGGCATTTAGGACATACATGCAAACTCATCCAATGGTCTCTGGACAGTCTCCAGACCTCTCCCTGTGATGGAATACCTCAATAAAAACACCTTAAGGAAGGAGGGGCTATATTGGTTGACAGTTTGAGGGTACCGTCAATCATGACAGGGAAGGCATGGGTCCCCACATTGTCACATCGCACCCACCATCTGGAAGCAGTGGGGTGTCTGTCGCTCAGTTTGCTCTTTCATTCAGGGACCCGAGTTTATGGATGGTCACTCGAATTTAGGATGAATCTTTCCACCTCAAGTAACCTAATCCAGAAACCCCCTCACAGACATGCCCAGAGGTTTATCTCCTACATGATTTTAGATCCTGTCAAGTGGGCGATCAGTATTAACCATGACAATCAATAAACCCTTACATGCTGGGGTGGGGACCTCACACATTCCACTAATGGCGACAGCCGTTTCCCTGCACTGTAACAGAGACTTCAGAGCTGCTTGTGCTAAAGTAAAGGATGTCCACCCGACTGAGCTGCAAATGTCTCGTCGTGGGACAGGTAAATGCAGCAGCAAGGCTTGACCGCCTGCCTCCATCTGGCGTCATCTATTCTGTGTCTGCCTCTTACAGCTTGGACTGCAGGAACAGCATATCTGGTGGACAACCATCTTGTTTTTGTTTTTAAAGATTTATTTATTTTATGTATATGAGCCCCCGACAACCATCTTGGAATCCTGGTGCACAAAGGCCCCAACCGGAGAAGGTAGTCACCTGACCGCTGGTTTAAACCCTCTTTAATCATGTATGGCTTTGCCTCTTCTGCTAGAGAATCTTGTACAAGATCTTTGCAGCCTGCCGAGGACAACGGTAAAGATGTCACCATTACCTTTTCTGTTTGGTCTGCTGGGGTGAGTGTATGGACCTGAGTTGTTGGGACCTCCCAGAGTCAAGCCTCTGTCACAGGACTCCAGTAACACCCTACACTAGCTCACATTATTTCCTGAGGAGTCTTAAACCTGCTAAATTCTAGTAACCAGCCTCTGCTTCCTTCCCTACCTTATACAGTGTCTATGTAGCCTAGGCTGGACTTGAACGCATAGTGATTCTTCCAACTAAGTTCCCCAGATTACTGCTTACATCTTAACACGTACAGCCGAAGGGCCTGTGGCCTTTGTGACTGTTCATGCTGGCCTATCGTGATCTGAGGGGATACTTCCTTGTGCTTAAAACACTGAGGACTTAAGGACTGGAGAGATGACTCAGCGGTTAAGAGCACCAACTCCTCTTCCAGAAGTCTTTAGTTCAATTCCCAGCACCCAGATGGTGGCTCACAACCATCTGTAATGGGATCTGATATCCTCTTCTGGTGTGCCTGAAGACAGCGAGAGTGTATTCATATATATATAATAAATAAATCTTTAAAAAAAAAAACAAATGTGGACTTCAGTCAAATTCATACTACATGAGCCCAGACCACTCACTAGGCTATTCCAACTTTATAAACTTACTATTCCTGATATGTGAAAAGGATGTTTTATAAAACTTCTATTACAGATGATCAATTTCTTTTATATTCTTTATCAATTTTTGCAGTTTATTAAAGTCATTATGTGCCCTCCAAATATTCTAGGATGCATTCTCATGGAGGTTTGAGACCATGCAGAATATCAGATTCTACATTTAGTGTTTTTTAACATTGATTTACTTATTGGGGGTATGTCAGTGCCACAGTGCACATGTGTGTGAAAGTCAGAGGACAACTTGTGTCAATCAGTTCTCCCCGTCCCCTAAATGCCCCACTTGGTGAGATAGGCTCTCTCTCTCTCTCTTCTCTCTGCTGCTCTGTAGATCGCAGGCTTACTAGCTGTCTTGGTCAGTGTTCTATGGCTGTGAAGAGCAGTGATCATGACTGTGGCAACTCCTTGTTGTTTTGTTTTGGTTTTTTGATACAGGGTTCTTCTCTGGCTGTCCTGGAATTCTACAGACCAGGCTGGCCTTGAACACAGAAATCCGCTTGCCTCTACTTCCTGAGTGCCGGGATTAAAGGTGTGTGCCATCATCATCTGGCTGACCTCAGCAACCCTTATTAGAGAAAACATTTAATTGGGGCTAGCTTATAGTTTCAGAAGTTTTGTCCACTATCTC